AGAGTCCAGCCTCTGGGTCAACGCGATCAGACCACAGAGACCATGGCATGGGATCTTAGGGTCCCATATTTAGGCAGGGAATCTAGGGGCTACACTTTTCAAAAAGACAAGCATAGCCCTGGTTTAAATATTTGTTTACCGTGGGCTCTGAGTTCCTTGAAATCTGGGACGGCTTTATTTAATTTTGCTTAGGGCAGTGCAGAAGCTTTGTAGATGTTTACTGAATTGGAATAAAATTGAATTGAAAATGAACAAAATAATCATTAAACTACACAGAGAGATTTAACTTGCTCAATCCTCCCCCCCATGTAGACCTCAGATCTACCCAGCTAGCCTTTCTCCCTCCCTCCCTCTCTCCCCCTTCTCTTTTCCCCCTCTTGCTCTTTTCCCTCATTTTCTCACTTTCCTCCTCATGAAGGATAATTAATAATTCAACAAACAATGGTGCATTCTGATGGTTAAGAATATAGCAGCGTAATTGATATTTATTTCTGCTGCAGCTCAACAATATCTCATTTTCCCAAGAGGGCAATTTTCCATTGCTGTTCCAGGTTTCTCACGATAAAACCAATCAACCCTAGGAAAACCTGGAGGCCATCTGTAAAGGAAGAAAGATGGAAGGCAATGTGTTTCCAACAGACACAACCCCACAATCATAATGTTTTAAACACTGACATTTATTTAGGGTTTTTTGGACTCATATGTTAATAGGATATATTCTAATTTATATCTGTATATAATAGGCAAATATATAATACAATAAATTGCATTTATACACATAAATACAAAATTTGAGGTAGGGCCTCAAGAATAATGACTTTGTAAGTGAATAATGCACAGTATATAATACATACTCTATATCTATGGTGTGTCATTTGTAACATAATATATTTTCTTCATGTACAGTTAATGAAAAAATAGAAGGACCTGATTAGCAAACATATTGTTATTCATGGGCGACAGTACCCACACAAGATGCCTGCACTTAGGACAACATCCAAGTACACAATTTAAGAAGTAACCTATTCCTTGATAGGTCCGTAATAAAGTGCAAAATAAGACCCACAAATGAGAGACAAAACAGCTCCTAGAGAACCACTAGGTATCACCCTAACTGGAAAATACACCTGTAAGGCAAATGGTCACCTGAAGATGTATTTCACCCTGGGAGGCGGAACACAGCGCCACTTGCTTTCCCGACATGATGAGTACTTGGTCTGAAAACACTTTCTCTTCGGCTGCGGGCTGCTGGGACACGACCTGAGCTGAGCCTGCAATTCATAACTTCTCGGCCCTTCTGGACAACCAAATAGAAATCTGAGCAAGACAGGAAGCTTCACCGTTCAACTCTCAGGCCCACTTCGGGGGAAGATGCAATCCTGTTGGTGTTGCCTGCCTCTGCTTCCAGCCTGCAAGCTTCCCTCATGCTACACAGCGTGAAACCCCACCAAATGTTTATTTGTTGGCCTTGACCTTCTGTAGCTGCGAGATAACCAACCCGCCTTGCGGGGCACCCTCTCTCAGCTCATCTGGCTCAAAGAAGCGCGTCATAAACGCACATCCGGGAACTACCACAGCAGTCCGATCTCGCTCCCAGCTATACTGAGTAACAGTGACTGTGCAAACCTCTAGGAAGTGGACAGTGGTGATGGCTGGGGGAACAGAGAGGAATGAGAGCTCTTACTTCTAGGCATGGGAAACCATGCTGACCGAGGTGGACAGGAAGCGCTGAGGCACACGGAGATGTTCGGACAAAAACGTAAACAAAACTCAAATCCCAACGCCACCTTGGCATAAAGACATCTCAAGTCTTACCCAAAGATCCCTTCATTACACTCTTGTAATGCTCACTGAAGTACAAGCTGCTTGCATTGCTTACGTATTAAAAACCCACTGGAAATTTCAAAGGCGTTGAGGTCATTCAGATTTTTGCATTGATCACAGACTTCATGCAATCAATAAATATACTGGAAAAAAGAAACAATTACTAAAGACACATTTGTACACGATAAACACTGCACAGGACACAAAGATTAAAAGTTACTAATATACAAGACAAATATTTGCATAAGAAGCCACAACACCAGTAATTAAGAAATATACATTATTTTCTCTTTTAAGGAAATTACAGGGTTACGTTTGTCAATATGGCTTGTTTTTCTCTGAAGGGGTTTCTGACACCTGTTGGTGTTAGGAAATCATTTCACAACTGAAAAATGTCCCACCCAATCTGCAGTGACCCACTGAAAGAGCTTCTGAAGCAACTCAGCTTTCTCCAGTGTGAAGGGAGGCCCTCAGGTGGCAGGTTATAAACACGCTTTTCATTTCATTTTTATCCATGTGTTTGTTTCTTCCAATTGATGGCACATTTGAATAGCGGGGGAGCGATCCATCCAGTCAGATGCATCCCAGCTCTGAGAATCACAGCCAGGTCCACAGAAAGCATCAAGCTCCAGGTCCACGACAGCTGGACACTTTTGGGACCCTGAACCAGCCCGTCAGAGAAAACCTCAAATTCCAATACGGTTGTAAAAACTGACAAAACTCAATCTAAAAGCTAGCCATTTCCAGGTAAGTTCAGGACCATTCACCTGAGTAAATCTCTGTATATGAAATTGGAAAATTGTAGGAACAGAAGTTGGCCGGGGAGCCCAGCTGTTTAGCAGGCAACTCCTGGGTTTTGCTGGACAAATCCTAATAAACATGTATAGCTACCCCCAAATACTATCTAATGAAGAGGTCTCCATTCTCACAATTGAGTTAGCTTTTAGTTTGGAAATAGTGGTATCCATAGGGGGTTCCTCCCTCCCTTTAGACCCCAAAATAATAATTAGCAGAGATTTGGTGTTGGGCATCAGGCTCAGTTTCAGCCAAGAGGCAGAAGGAAAGCCAAATCCCATTGGTTCTGACAGCAATGGAGCAATCAATCTCAAGAGAGAATGCGCATCTATTTAAGATCTTTTCTGCTACCCTCAGATTGGAACAGCTCAGTATTCCTCCCCACCTCTTTTCATCAATTGTAGAGACTGAATTTTTCTACCACCCTCGGATGTCTGGCATGAGACTGGAGGCTCCTCATCAATATGGCTTTCTTGAGGACACTGGATGGCAGAAAGGGCATGACAGCAAACACTGGACAGGCAAGGCCAGGCCTCAACTTCCTAGAAATGAGTTTAGGAGAAACTCAAGGTTCTGTTTTTGTAAGAATCAGCCAGGTCTAGCTTTAGGGGACAAGGGCAAAAGGGCAGGGCGGGAGGGGGCAAACATCCTCCAGATGGAAGACACAAAAATCTATAGTTTAGACCCATCTATGATTCTTTTTCCAACACCTTCCATGAGCTACGCTGGAAACCTGGACACTCATAGCCTTGTTGGCAAATGGTGATGCTCTTTGCCCTCAAAAAAAAAAAAAAATGCTCAGAAAAAATAGTTTGGTCACTTCAGATACAAATGAAACCATCTTTTTAAAATGTTAATGCGAAAGTACGTTGTTGGGTTTCATTGTTATTGAACAGGATGAAAATGTCACATCAATATACAAGAGCTGAACCAAAAACTTTGCCTGAGACCCTGTATGCGATGACAGATGAAGAAGAAAATGATTGAAATGGTGTCCCCTAAAAGAGACAATTTTAGGTTTAGATATTAACACTGTAAGGGGGAAAAAAAAGCCCAGACTAAACTACACTAAACTCACCGCCCCTATAGTGATTCCTAAGGTATTTATAAGGACAGAAAACACCACTACGAATACACACTACATAAGCACATACCACATTTTAAAAAGCTCATAAATGCATGTTCAGGGTACAAGATCATAAAGGTTACGCCTTCTCCAATCTCTGCAGACATATGAGTCACTCTCATTAGAGTGCAATTCCAACGGGTGCAGTGACAGGAAGCTCTTAAAATTGAATTGGCTAAATGTAGTCTTAAAAGCTATAGTCTTATCTGGCTCACTCACTACTTACCTAAGCTGCATTTATCTGAAATTTCTGTAAACACAGTAACCTACAATGTGCTACGAGTGCAGTGAATATTAGGGTTCCTTCCCGTTAAGTTCTTCACCTTTTGATTTCTCTAGGACCAGAGTTGGCCTTTGCTGTGGATGAAACAGTTGAGTAAAAACTGAGAAACTATCTGTCCTTTAAGAGCTTGTGTCTTATATGTATAATATAGAGACAGAACCAGGGTAAGTCTTGTTTTCCCAAAGGATGAAAGACAACGCATCTACAGCTTGTAGAAAAACACTTAGAGGAAAAGAAACGAAAGATCATGACATTGAACAACGATATTAAACGTCACATAGAAACTGTAATGGGGCTCTACTGTGAGCATAGAAACTCAGGCACAACTTAGAGGATGGCTTCTTGTGCAGGAGGAGAAGGAATAGCCAAAAGATCTCACGACTGTGGTTATTAAAAGAAAAGTGAACTAAGGGCAAAGAACGGACACTTTCCTCAGCACCCTCCCACCCCCATAGAACAACTCAGTCTGTGTTGTCCCTACTTTCAAGGAGGAGACAGATCTGATGATGGCTGAAAATACAAACTTACTAGCCTCAGCAGTGTCCAAACCTACCAGCTCTGCTTTATATCCAAAACAGTGTCTGGCCTCTGCTGTCCCTCTAAATGTACTCCGTCCTGAACTTTGGGGGCCTGATGAAGTCACTGCATTACGCCGCTCAGTTCTACAACACTACTATGTCCAAATTAAGAGTCCTGAAATTCTGCCCTTCCCTGCCTGGCACCCCAGTGACAAAGCACGCAGATCATCCCCTGGTGACCAAGCCACACACACCTCCTAGTGCTCACCGAGGCCCCAAGGGATGAGCCTGTGCTCAGGAGACCAGTGCTTCTAGCAGCTGTCACCATGGATGCAAACAGTGCTTCAAGCGGTCCATGTGGCTCTCACTATGGCATGCGGCACTAGGTCCTACTTTTCTACCACACTCATGCATGGTTATAAAGAACATGTCAGGGGTGGGGGTGAGAAGGAACCTGGGAAAAATATTAGGAGGAGGCAGACAGAGCAAACAGGCTGAAAGTCTGGACCATTCCACCCCGCTGGACTAGCACTGGGTGCCCAGTTCCAAATCCTTGACTGGCAGCTTGAGTCCCAGGGAGGAGGTTCCCAGGGGGTCGATCATGTTCTTGTAGCGCTCCCCACGGTGTTGAGCTAAGAATGGCCCCCAGTCTGGCTGTGGCGAGCACACTAACTTCAGCCTCTGTGAAGAAGTCAAAGACACATGTGGTTACGGAAGTAATGGGCACCACCCCCACACCCAGGGGCTGCGCAGCTGCAGTGGCCCCCAAACTGCCCAGGAGCAGGTTTGCCACACCCCTGCTTAGGCCCAAGAGAGGTGGTCAGGAAGGCCAGTCCCCTTAAGGGACTAGCCCAGTATAATAAAAAGGAACCGCAGGGTAGATGATTTGAAACTATTTGTGTCACACTACAGGCAGTACTACAATTGCCACAAGTTTGTCTTGCACAAAATTAATAAAGGACAAAGGGTCTAAGCTCTAATTATGCCTTTTTTCCCTCCAAATGACAAGAGTCTAAGACCTACAGTCTATGAAATACTTGTGCCCAGTTACTTCTGTTCTTTTGTCTCAACAGAGGATTGCTACATTAAAAACAATTGGATTTGGTTTAGCATATTTTCCAAGAGTACATAAATTACCAAAAACCCAAAGATACACTGCCAAGAGTGAGCAAAGGTTTTAATGATCTATTGACAAAAATATATACACTTCTGACTTGGTTCGGTAGTGCAGGTTCTTACAGGCAAGCTAAAAATAATGGGAGCGCCTCTACTCCTTCAGCTGATACTCTCACGGAAAACATAATTCGTCTGGAACATTTTCTAGAAAAAAGAAAAACAGATTTCTGACTATATAAGAGGGAATAATTATATGCTTATTACCTACTAAAGCAAAGCTGCTTCTTATAGCTGTTAGTTTAAGCTCCCCTTAATCATCATTTTGCGGCCTTTGTGTCCCAAATCAGCCGTAATAAATTTGCAGAGCTGACTCGTTGGTTTAGAGGACTTAGCCTAAGACAACAGCAGCAGGAGCTAAAACTGGGTTCTGTTTCAAGGGAGAGAGATTTCTGGGTCTCATCGTGCGGAGGTTGATCTGCGGCAGGCAGGAAGCCTCTCTGGCAGAAAACGGTGCCAGTTCACCCCAGGGGATAAGTGGAGTTTCCTGAGGATGCAAGCTGGAAGGAGAAGACTCCAGCGCCTCCCCTTAACAATTCCAACTCCATCTGCAGGCCAGAGAGCACAGAAGACACGGGCCCACCACTCCCTGGGCACGCGTACTTTGTGCCCTCGCTGCACACTGCTCCCTGGGGCCGTGAGCATCGTGCCCTCGCTGTGCACCCACCATCTTCCCCTTCTAGGCCTCTTCCTTTTATCAGGCTGCTACCAAGCACCTCCATGGCCTTCTCTGACAGGTGTTCCTTCTGCCCAGCCCAGGGCCTCTCCCACCTGAGCATGCAGCCGGGAGACCTGCAGCGTAGGCCAGGACGCCATCCCCTGCATGTGCTGGCTCACTGGCGCTGCCTGGTACCCAATCATGTGACTTCCCATATCCTCATAGGAGAAGCAGCACTGCTGTGGTGCCCACTAGCCCAGGATCCTCAACACAGGGCCAGGGCTGCAGGATTCGCAGTGTCCCTAGCAGGGGACTTCTCCAGTGTCCCTAGCAGGGGACTTCTCGTAAGTGCTTCACAGCTGGCTCAACAAATAGCAGTCCCCTTCTGCTCACTCTGGAGTGATGCTGGGGATTCTTGGCATTGTGGATGGGAAATGGGTCAGGCAAGGGATTAAGAGACACTGTCCTGTCTCATTTCAATGACCGCTAGGACTCTAATGAAGTCAGACGGTGACGGTGACGGGAGTCAGCTAGAACCCGGCAGTCATTCCTAACACATGGAAAGGCGGAACAGGTAGTGACTTTAAGGTTAACAGGATGGAAGGAGGCTTAGAGGAGAACATCCAGAGAGGGAAAGCTGATGTGGAGTTAAAAATGAGTCACTGGGATTTAACTTGTGGCTCAGGGGGAGGAGGTGAAAGCCCCAGGAAAGAGGAGACGCCCATCATTTATTCCCGAGGGCTGTCACCACACTGAGGAATCGCATAATAACAGCTCAGCCTGTGAGTTGGCTGAGCCCTCCCGTTAGAAGAATAATATGTAATAAAACTGGGTTTCATAGAAATGGTGGCAACTGTAATCCCTTAATAACCAAGTCTTCCTCTTGAATAAGTTTACTGAATCTTTTGTTTTATAAAACAAAGAGCTTTTAGGGGCTCTCCCCTGGGAGAGGTTGGCAGGCAAAAGGCGCGAATAGAATTACCTCCATAAATCTGCCAGGGGCCAGGTGCATTTTTATCACGAACATAATTGGGATCCAGATAACGGAACAGGCAAGCATGAGCCACCCAAGCGCCATGGACCAGCTGGGGTAGCGGTAGGAGCCGTAGGTCATGGGCTCCCACTGGTAAAAGCTGAAGCACAGGATGAACTGGGGAGAGAAGAGACACAGATGTTAGGACGGCGACGGGAGCGGATCCCTCCTTCCACAGGCGTACGCGGGGGCCCCTCCCAGGCGTCGGACGCTTCTATCTCTGTATCGCATCTCATACCCACATTTGCCCTGAAACGGAATTTTCCAAATGAAGAAACTGAATTCCAAAGAGATGAAGATGACACACACTGCGCGGCTGGCTCTGCACTTGCTGTCCCCTGGGAACGGAGCCATATGCAAGCACGCACAAATGCGCACGCAGTCAGGCCAAGGGGCCAAGCGGAAAGGCCGCCACCGAAGCACGCACGGGGGCCGGCTGGGCAGAAGGTGGATGTCTCTAAGGGGTTGCCTTTTTCCATAATGAATGGCCCAGCTTTAGTGAAAAGAAAGAAACCCAGAAAATTTATGTATTTGAATTTTTAACGTCCTGAATCTGCTTGGCTTTCTCCCTGAGGAGGCGTGGCCACTTCCAGAAGCTACCAGCAAGGCTCATACCCAAAGTGGTCCCCAAGCAGCGACTAAGCCAGGAGCCTGGTCCTGTAATAAGCTGTGGGACAGTGAGGACAAGCGCGGCTCCTCTGCCCCGGACTCCAAGTGAGCAGCTTCATCACCCCATGGTGAGCCGAGTGCCCAGAGACTAGCACGCCAATCTAGGCTCCCCCATTAATTAGCTGAAGGACCTTGGAGCCTCAGACCCCTCTGCTAGCAAGTGACTCTGGTTCACACCATGTGCAGAGCCAGGGGCTCAGGAAACAGCGGTCCGGGCTTTGCTCTAGAGCTCTTCACTTTAGCACTGTTGCCATCGTTGCAAGCTTTGCCTGGCAATAGCAGTGAGCTCGTCCTGAGGCCTGGACCCACAGCGCTGAGAAGGACAAGGGGACAGAGGTGCTGACACAGAGGCACCTGCAGAGATGGAGAGGGGCTCTGCTGCTCCAGCCAAGCCTTTGTGAGGGAACATTTCCCAGAGATGATGTGACTCCCTGGATTGACCCCGCCTACGGTAGCTGCAGCCCAGAGACTCCCTTCACTTGTCGTCTCCATCTCCGCCTCTCTTGCCCTATCAGAAGCTGTAAAATAATTGCCTGAAAAGGAAATTATGTCAGGGAAAATAACATATGGGAGTGTTTGGGGGGAATCAGGAAGCACTCCGCTTCCTGATGTAAAGTGCTATATTATTGTTCCAAAGCTGCTGGGGCAAGCATTATTTCCACGCAATGATAATTCAATATATTGAATTACACAGCACAGGCAACACCAGCCTGGATCAACTGTTGAGGAAAAGCTGCTCCTTCGGAAAGCGCTACCTCAGGCCCCTTCTCGAACACGTGCCCTGTAGAGTTACAAGCTTTATTAACCAGGCTACGGGAGGCATGGCCCCCGTAATTATGGGAACCTGCTGCATTTCATTGACTATATAAATAGCAATGTGTCTGCTTATGTGTGAGCGTAAGTCAGTAACATGACCTGACTGTGTACACAATAATTGCGTGGCGAATATTCATAGCTCTATAAATCCATGAGGGCATGTATAAAAATGATCAATTTTAGTTCAGGGACTCTGAAGCAATTTAAGCGCCTAATCTTAGCCTATCCCAGCACATCACAAAGATTCACTTTACAGCAGGGCGCATGCAGTACAGGAGTGCTGGGTCCTTTGTTGCCCGTTTCCAGCACACATATCGCTTCTTACTCAGAGGCACAAATTTGCCCTCTGTGGACCTTGTTCTCCCTGCCCCGGCAGCCTTGCCCAATCCCTGCCCTCTGGCAGAACTGACCGTGAGTGGTGGTCATCTGGCCACCAAGTCAAGTTAGTGGCCTTCGGCTCAGTGGCAGCCAAAGGAGGTGCTACAGGCTCACAGGTTGGTGAGGACAATGGAACTGACAGTACCTAACTGTCCCTTGCTTCTCAACAGCACAGAAGGAAAACGCAGTCCAAGTTTCTTTCCAAGGTGCTCTACAATTTCATGACATGAAAATTGAAATCTCATTCGCATTGAAACTCAAGTAAAGCACAGCTTAGATGAAGAACTTCCTGAAAAAGGCACAGCAAGTCTCTTGAATTCCTCTTTTCTAACACCGTGCTTATATAGACTAAAACACAGAACTCCACTTGGAGACGGTAAGTGGGCTTTCCAACGCGGGCCGGAAGCCCAGACATCCCTGGACTCAGCTGTCGCCTCTGACATCTTCAAGCCTCAGAGCACATCTATAAAATGGGAGCGCTTCGAGCCGAAAGAGGGTGGTTGTAGCCTTCAGAGACAAGGTCCCTCAAACACCTCCTTCACTAGGGTCCTGGACACGGAGCAGCGCTGGTTGTGATGCGCAAGACGCTTCTCCAGAGTAGAGCAAAATTCTCTCAAGCTTCCAGGATGGGAGGAAAAGAAGGCAGAAACAAATTCTACCTGGGGCTTAGCAAAGAGTGAACCTCGAGGAGGTGCGATAGCTGAGGGACACAGCCGCAGAGAAAGTGGGCTCAGTGAGCCTGGCGCTAAAGGCCCCCTCCGGGACTGCACCGCCCCGGGAAACCCCAGGGCCTCACACACAGCTCGTTCTGAGCCCCGCCTGTGGGCCGTGCGACTTCCCAGACCAATCCCAGCCTCCTCTCCAGGCATGACATCCGTGTTAGTGCAGCCGGAGAACTACAGTCCCTAGTAGCTCTCTTGTCATATTCTCTAGCTTTTCAGGAAGAAATCAGGACATTTTGATTAAAACTCACTCTGTGACAGAAACAAAGAAAAAAAAAAAAAAGCAGGAAGGAAGAAAAAAGGAAAGGAAGGGAAGATTTTTCTTTGCAGTTGTATTTTCATCCATTCTGCCTTGTGCTTCTTTTTAAATATTTTGTTGGTATATATTTTGATGCATAATTGTATTCATTTTCAGAAGTATAACCAAAAAAGAAGTAAACGTTAAATAATGTATCATAGCGAAAGACATTGAAATGATTTCCCCTCAAAAATATTCAAAATACTTTCTCTCACTTCAAACATACGTATCTCATCATTCTTGGCAATGTGTCTTTTATCTTCATATGTTTATTTTTTAAAATTTAAACATTCACCCTATAGTTTGATCAGCCTACTCCTCGCCTTCCCTTGATCTTTTTCCTCATCTGCAAGCAGGCTGCATCCTGTGTTTCTTTAAAAAAAAAAAAAAAAATGCTACATGTTTTCAGCGCCTGATAATTGTATTTGTTGGTCTGTTTCTTGAACGAGATGTGCGTACCAAAGTCAAACAGAAGCTTTTAATCTGGTGTCTACTGCCACCTACCGGCTCAATCAAACATTACAACTTCCTTGGGATTTGACAACAGGATCCCAGGAAGGAAAGAGGCCCGGGAGCTAGAGAGGAAAGGAGAGAGCATGATCTCCACCAATGATTATATTGGAGAGCTGAGTGAGGGAGGCAGCTTGCAGCAAATCGGAGAGGTGGCAAGATGCAAGTTCAAGTCCCTACGCAGACTTGCTGACTCGTGAAAGGCTCCGATCTTTAAAAAGGTGAACTGTAGACAACCCCAAAATGTTACCTTCAAGCGGGAGGATGACAAGATAGTTCTCCAAAGCACGAAAAATGAACAGCAAAGGTCTAATTGATGGTAGTTTAGCTGTAGAGCAACTGCGCCAAGCACTAGCTCTGGAGCCGCCTGACCTGGGTTCGAATCCAGGCTTTTGCTAATCACAAGGTGGACAATGTTGGTCAAGTCACGTACGCTCTGGGCTTTAGTTTCCTCATCTGCAATGTGGAGATCATTGCAATGCCTGCCCCCAGGAGGCCTGTTACGGGTTACATCAGAACGTTTCCAAATACCCGTATGTTCAGAGGTGGGGCTTTAGGAAGGTGATTGGCTCACGGGGCCCATACCGGTCAGTGGATGCATCCACTGAAGAATGCGGAGCGGACTTGCCCTGGGACGTGGAAGAGGAAGCCCTTGGGGATGAACTGGAAGGGTGCAGCCCGCCTCTCCCTCTTTGCGCTTCCCTGCGCCATGAGGTAAGCAGCGCTCCTCCGCCAGACCCTGTCGCCAAGGCCCTCCTGCCCTGTGGCAGAGTACTGACTGAATTCTCTAAAACCCATCAGCCAAAGTAAATCTCTCTTCTTTTAAGCTGTGGGTTTCAGAAATGGAGCCCCATACCTCCCTAAGGATAAAGAGTAGAGACTAATATCCTAAATCGGCGTCAGTCACCTTGAGAAAGCCAGGAAGCGTCACTAGCCCAGCCCCCTACAGGAAGAGCCCCCGTTCTACATTGACGCCCCCTTGCTTCCCATTTGGTCCTGAGCTAGTCAATCTTACCTGAGCAGTTGTGCTTGGTATCTTATTGGTGGACCATAACTTTGTCCCACCTCATGCCCACCCAGCAAGTCCCCACCTTAGACTCACCTCACCTCCTGGTTTTGCTCTATAAAAATCCCCAAACAAGACAGCTTCCTTGGCAACCCACTCGGTTCCCTTCTATCCTCTCAGAAAGAAGCTTTCCTTCCCCTCAATAAATATGTTCTGCTTTTTAGTAAATAAATAAACATATAAGTTGTGGTTGTCAGGAATTGTGTCCTAGTACAGTAAAGTGACTAAGAGCTACCAAGGGAGACAGAGGAGGCCCCCCAGGCAGAGCCTGGAACGTGCCAGCATGGGACGCGTATGGGCTGTGGCTGCTACTTGCAAGCCAGACGTAAGGCCGACCCATCTAATGAGCGATACTACAAGGGGTGCTGCAAAGACCCGTGCCATAGTGCAAGCCCTGCACTTGCCCCGCGAGTCTCTTCACCTCTCTCAAGGTCAGTTTCTTCACCTGAAAGACAAGCATAATACCCTCCCCCGAGCTTCCCAGGTTCCCACGGGGCACGTGCATCTCCCAGTGTAACTGTCACATATGCTTGCGCGGCGCCATTCACGTGAGGAAGCACGCAGCCTTACGGTTAGGATGGTTGGGGTTACAAACGCCCAGCAGACTTTCCAGAAAATGTTCGGCTGGAATCCAATCATCATCTCTATGTCTTCACAGAATCTCTGCAAGCCTGCAGATAAAGAAGCAGAGATCAAGTGTGAGGTGTGGAGCCCCTGGGGAGGAGGGACAGGTGCCACTGGTTGGGGGTGGCCCCAGTCTGCTGTCCATCTGACCTCTATTATGCAGAGACCCACCAGACAAATGACTTATTGCAGGAAGATTAGAGCAAATGGAACATTTAAATAGATGCTAAACACCCTCTGCAGTAAGGTGCAAATATGTCAGACACAGTGACATAAAAAGTTCAGTTCCGGCCCAGATGTCTCAGCACAGGCACAGCCTGGATTGTCCGTGTACATGCTGTTCTGAGCCAGCCCTGTGCGCTTACGGAGAAACCTGACGCAACCAAGTAAGGCTGTGCTTCACAGGACGTTGTGTATGTTACATGGAGTAGAATGAAAATGCTTTCTAGTGTTTCAAAATATTGCAAGAATTTCCTGTGAATGCACATCTTTTGAAATTTTAGATTTGGTTTTAGCATTACTTTTGATGATGTTTTTAGGATTACATCCTTAATCAGGTTATGCCATTCTCCTTTGCCCCCCAGTGTATTTCTTTGCTTGTTTGCTTTTTTAAGAAAAGGAAAATGTCCGGAGGAACAACCCGCTCAGGCCCCCTCCTGTCCCTCTCTCGGACAGGAGCTTTCTTTCCCTCAATAAACATATTCTGCTCATTAAAAAAAAGAAAGAAAGGAAAGGAAAGTGAGATAATTTGAACACGTATATACAAGACTGTCCTGATCAAATGCTAACGCTGCTGCTGGAGCTCTGATCAATGCTGGTGAGATAAGCAGAAGTGACTTGAACACTCAAGTTACAGCGACTTTTTCCATCGTTGTTAGATGACATAAAAGTTAAAGCCAGAATTTAGAGAGAGGGAAATAAGACTGTGGATCAATAAATAGAGTGTCTTATGAAAGCCTCGGGATTTAGAGCAAATCTCACAGTCTGTGGGTTCTGCGTTGCCCACCCTACGGAGAACACTGGCCACATGGATCCGTCTCTCTCTGCTCTGCAGAAAATAACCACAGTTAGGGCTGACCAAATAGCTCAGCAGATTAAAGCACCTACAAGCAGGCGCAGGGGCTGGGGGTTCAATCCCCAGGCCTGCTGTGCCGGCCCCGCCCCTGCGGAGTGCTGAGACAGCAACTGAGACTGGGCGCAATGGCACATGCCTGTAATCCCAGCACTTGGGAGGCTGTAAACAAGCGCATCACTAGGAGTCTGATCTAGCAGTGAGACCCTGAACACCCTGTAGACCCTTCCCTAAAATACAAAAAAAAAAAAAAAAAAAAAAAAAAAAAAAAAAAAAAGATAACCATAGTGGACAGAAACCAACATAAATTCCAAACAGCCATCACCTACTTCGTTTCATCCGAAGGACAACTGTCTTCTCAGTCACTCAGCAACATCACTTACATAAAATACAGAGAAGCTAAGTCATTGTCATGGCTCACCGAGCACCAGCCCTACACCTTGCTGGTTCAGGAAGGTTTTCAAACTACTCCTTGAAAAGGAAGGCCCGTGAGGAATATTTTAGGCTGGAATGGTGTCCTCCCTGCCTTCCTCAGCTTGTCACAAGCCAGCCTTTTCAGAACTGTGGGACTGATCATACCAGACAGGCTGATAGGTGCTCAAGTTCAAGCTCCTTTGTATTCGGTATTTTTGAAAATTCACCCAGCTGTACCTTCAAGATATGTGCTGCTAATTGGTCGAGCAATGGCCATGACTCATCCACATGGCTGACACTGACAAAGGATCTACAAACTGTGGTACAGGGTTGCAGAATAAATCCTGAGGGGACTTCACTGACCTTATCAGATACAAAAGATACATTTCTTGTTATATAGGTCTTGCTTTATCTTGGTCTAAGCCATCCAGCAGAAAAGTATAAAAATGAAGTACAAAAAGTAAAGCCATATTAGTATGCTGAGCTATGAAAAGCTCAAGTCAACAACTTCTGCAGATAACCCACTACTATTGTGGACTGCTGGACTGCATTGGATTGTTTTGCTGACTTCACACACCTACAGTATTTAGATGGCAGTGGAATACCCATCTCTGACAGGACTAAATGAAAAAGGGGATACAAAGGAAGGACCATTTTGTATCTATTTATTCAAAATATTTAGGCTAGATATACAACTGCTTTCACTTAATTCAACAAGAAGAAAGATTTGTACTAATAGTGTTTGGACAGGATATCATGTCTGCATCTTCTACTATGGATAAACACTAAGAAGATAACAATGTACAATGTATTAATTTTGAAACTGTCCTATTAATCTGGAACCAGGGAGTTAGCTCAATAGAATAAGTGTTTGCCTGGCAAGCGCAAGGGCCTGAGTTCAATCCCCGGTTCCGAAAAAAAAAAGTGGTGTCCTATTAATCAGTTTAGGATTGTCTCATTGCCATTTGTTTCTCAATAAAATTAATAAAAACAAAAAACCAACGATATGTGCTCCTCTGTGGAGAAAGGGAGGCGCAGGTGCACTCTGTCTCGGTGGGAACATAACTGGCACAGTCACTGCAGAAAACCTTCTACAGACTCCTCAAAGAATTCAAAATCAAGTTCCCAAATGACCCAGCAATTCTACTACTGGGGACAGAGTGAAGGGGCTGGAAATGTGCACGTCAGAGAGATGCCTGTGTTTACTGCAACCTGATTCGCACCAGACCTGAACATTTCACCTGATGGGTGAATATCGAAAATGTGAGACAGAGATAGATACACAGAGTATTTAGCCTTTAAAAGCAGAGGATGCCAGGTCTGGATGGATTCATAGCTGAATTCTACAAGAAATTTACAAAAGATGAAGTTCCTATACTCCTCAAACTCTTCCATGAAATTGAAAAGGAAGCAATCCTCCCAAAATCATTCCTGGAGCCAAGTATTATAGTGACACCAAAATCAGGGAATGATGCAACTAAGAAAGAGAATTACAGGCCGATCTCCCTCATGAACATAGATGCCAAAATCCTCAATAAAATACTAACAAATAGAATACAGCAAATCATCAAGAAGATCATGCACCATGACCACATAGGATTCATCCCAGGGATGCAAGAATGTTTCAATATTCAAAAATCTATCAATGTAATACACTATATCAAAAGAGCGAAAACTAAAACCCACATGATCACTCTCCATTGATGCAGAAAAGGCTTTTGACAAGGTCCAACACTCATTCATGTTCAAAGTCCTATAAAAAATTGAAATAGATGGCTTCTACTTAAATATGGTAAGAGCCATTTATGAAAACCCAACAGCTAACATAATCCTAAACTAAAATCTTAACTCTTAGATCTGGTACAAGACAAGGATGTCCTCTCTCACCACTCCTATTCAATATAGTACTGGAATCATTAGCTACAGCCATTAGACAAGAGAAAGTAATAAAAGGAATAAAAATAGGCAAAGAAGAAGTTAAATTTTCTTTATTTGCAGATGACATGATACTTTATTGGAAGACCCAAAAAACTCCACCAAGAAGCTACTAGAATTAATACAGAAATTCAGTAGCATAGCAGGTTATAAAGTCAATACCCAAAAGTCAATAGC